TAATTAATAATTATTCAACATTAATCATTTCAAGATCTAATATTTTATTAACATAATTTTATATTTTGATATAAAAAATGAAGAGCTGCCATGTGTAAGTGCACATTGTCCATCTTAAAAGAAAAACTCCAAAGAGCAGAAGAATTAATATTGTTAAAAATATTTTTATTAAAATTATAGGTGAATACAATTGATGATAATTGTTGAAAATAATTAATCATTCTTCAACTTTAGTTAATGGAGAGATAAACTAAAGAGTCTTTTTTTTTTTTTTAGAGTTATTAATTTTATACACACCATTGTAATTTTGATTTATAAAAATCAATCAGCAAACAGGTTCTAGCCAAATTTTGTGATCTTAAGCTTTAAACAAACAAGCTAGACTGGCTTTCTTAAAACTCTCTCAAGGGAGCTATAGGGGTGTATTATCTCCCCCTTTCTTAATGAGCATCAAAGTCAATTGTTGAAAAGAATAAGTCAAAGCACAAAATAGCACAATGAAAGCTCGAAGCCATTCTGTTCGAGAGATAATTGCCTCATGAGTGACACGGCTTGTTCACACTTTTAAAGCCATAAAAAAACTCCTCGCTAATGTTAGCATAGCACACATGACACCATTATTAGTCACATTCCCTGCTGTGCCGGAGACATTTTCCAGCCGCATTCAGTCAAACCCATTTCCAACTTCCTTTTCTTTACAGTGGACTTTTTCATACTTCGGAGGCGAGCAGGTTCCCCAGGGTTCCGTGTCATTAAGCGTAGGTTTTAATAGCTACACCTGCATTTAGGCTGCCGACTATAAATACATTCTCACTTTCAGACATACGAGAACATAGAGAGCTCTGTGAAAGAACTTAGAGAAACTGCTGATTTCTCTGCAGAAAGAGCAAGAGAGATGGAGAAAAACAGAGAGAGAATAAAGTCAACTCGAAAGAACAGACAAGAACAGAGAGATCTGGGAAGAAGGGGTCCTTATTTGAGTCTAATAATGAAGAAGGACTGTTCAATCTTTCTTCATTTTTTGTCAGTGTGGTTAAACTTTATTCTGTTGGTTCCCTCGAGACATTATGTTCACTTGTACTGTAGACTTTGCGAGTGCATGTAAACTTACTCTCAGTATTAGGCTAAGGATTAGTAGACTATGCTGACATTTCTGGCAATGCTCAAATGACTGAATATGTACACTGAAAACGTTCACGCAGCTGAACAGAATGTCTAGAGAGGATCATAAAAATTATCTTCTAACTAATCAGATAGTGTACAAATACTCTAATAATAACTGGTGGCTAACAAAAGTCTTGTCGTCTGTCTCAGTTGTGAAAGCAACAAATAATTTGACTTGATAAGATGAAAGAGGAGGCATTAAAGATGAATCCATAGAAATCTTGATAAACTCTGGGAGTCCTGCAAAATCGCTTTCTTTGCCATTCCAGATGTCTTTATAAAAAGTTATAAAGTCATTGCAGAGATGTATAGATGCAGTTGTCCAAGCTTATTTGCAATATCTATTCTTTTTCCACTGCACAATGGCTTTATATTCAATACTGTACATTATTTCTGTTACATAACAAGACTTTTGTCTCAGCAAAGTCAGACCTTACTGTCCAAATTAAATAATTAATAAAAAGGCATGATCATATTTTGTTTTAGAAGTCAAGGTAATATTTGTTGTTCCTAAAACTTGATTAGGCGACAAGACTTTTTTCAGGTAGTGTATACCACATACTAAAATATATATTTTGCTGAACATTAAAATAAAGCATTAACTAGTATTAAGTAGACAAGCTATAAATACAGGCTGCTGTAGTTACCAGCAGAATGTCTGCTGCCGGACCATCCAAAATAAAGAGTTTGGCAGGTAGTCCTACTGTAGTTACTGATAGGCAACAAAGTCAAAGTCAATACAACAGTTAAAGTGACAATTAAAATAAAACAGCCCAGGAAATACGTACCTCAGCCTAAATTTTTGCAAAAAATGCATTGCTCTGGGTACATTTCATTGCATGACAAATCAAGAGTGGTGTCTACATTTTTGCTGATCTGAAGTATTTACTTATTGTAATTTTTTTTGTGTTTCAGACACGTCCTTCTTGTACACATCCACAAGAAAGCAGGGCTTGTCACCTTCCATAAACCAACCAACAACAGACACCCTAGACACCAAATAAACTGTTTAGAGGAGTTGCTCAATGAACTGCACACATACAATCCTTTATTTCTCAATAATATGGTCCTGTAAAAATGTAGCTTGTAGCATGTATTTCCAATGAGCCAGTGTTGAAATAAAATAGTAGCAGATATTAAAAATACAGTCAACTAATATGTCTCTAACGACAAAAAAAAACTATTTATTAAAATAGATAAATAAACAAATGAATACATTTTTAGTCAGCAGCATGCACATGTGGGCCACTTTAGGCAGTTATGCAGCACTGGTGGTATTTCTTTGGCCCAGACAAAATGAATGTGAGCCTGAAGTGGCCCACCTGTACAATGGCAAAGGGGGGCCAAATATTCAAATTCATATATGGGCAATTAAGGCAAAAATTTGGCACTTATGGCAAAATGTAATCTGAATATGAGCCCAATGGGGCCCATGTAGAAAATTATCAATTTGGCCCAAATGACAGAGGACAAATGTAGACCACAGCTGGCAAAATAGTGGCACAGTCATTTAAGGGTAATCTGTGTATAAACCTAAAGTGGCTCACACGTGTAGTTGCAAATGTGGCCCAGTTATCTTAAAACATATGTGGGCCACTTTTGGCAATTATTTGGCACAGTAAACTCTGGCTAATGCAGCCATTAGCCTATAGAGGCCCAGAGGATATATGGAAAATGTGGCCCAGTTATCTTAAAACATATGTGGGTCACTTTTGGCAAACATTCGGCACAGTAAGCTATGGCTAATGTGGAATTGAGCCTATAGTGGCCCAGAGAAGATATGGCAAATGGGGCCCAGTTATCATAAAACTAATTTGGGCCACTTTTGGCAAATATTTGGCACAGTTAGCTCTGGCTAATGTGGCTGTGAGCCTAAAGCAGGCAAAAGGAGATATGGCAAATGTGGCCCAGTTATCTTAAAACATATGTGGACCACATAGACTAAAGTCACCATCATGGAGAAAAGTGTTTGCTTTAGTTGGGCTCATAGCCCTGAACCTCTTAAGTAAAATTTTATTTTGGGCTGCTGTAACTTTTAAGAACTTTGCCTGAAAAGTTTGTTCATTACAGCAAACAAAATGAAATGAGGCACAACCTGTGATGAAATAATATAATTCACTGATGGTTATGATGATTAATCCATTATTAGAAGTAATAGTCCAGATCTGGGCCAGAATAAAAGCATACTGTGGCCCAGAATAAGGTCAGTTCTGGTTTATTTGGTTGAATTCTGGCTAATATGTTGTATTGCTTTGGCTTATTTGTGGCCCAGATCTGACAAACAGGATCGGACTGCCCTAGAGCCATCACTCCGTTCAGTACTGTATGTGATCCAGATGTAAGTGTCTGGTGTGGGCCGGATCTGAGCCAGAATAAAAGCAAACTGTGGCCTAGAATAGGGTCATTTCTAGTTTATTTGGTTGAATTTTGGCTGATATGTGATATTACTGGTTTAATTGTGGCCCAGATCTGGCAAACAGAAACGGACAGCCCAAGTGCCATCATTCCATGCTGTATGTGGGCCAGATGTAAGTGGCCGGATTTGAGCCACATGAATTTTGCTATCTGAGTAGTAATTTTCAGATATCATCTTTCTATACTTTGCAATAAAACGTACAATTAGTTTTATGGAAATTACAAAAACTGGAGCTTTTTAGCAGTTTTCAGAGATCATGTTTTCACATTGACTATTGAAGAGGTTAATTGCAAAAAAAAAAAAAAAAAAAATTCTGTAAAATTGTAAATGCAGCAGCTATCTGCTTTTGCAAATGAACATTTCATATGCTTTCAATGTAGTTACAAAACTACTTGTAGCTTGATATGTCGAAATGGGACCATAAAATAAAATTACTACCATATATTACGCAGAGTCTACACTGTAAAACTCAAAAAAGTTAGGGTAAATCAAACCATTTGAGGAAACCGACTGCAACAAACAATTTAAGTTCAAAAACTAATCTAAATGAGTGCTGTGAACTTCATCCATTTGAGTAAAGGAAGCAATTTGAGCACAGTAAAACCCTATAAATGAAGAGAACTCAAATCAACTGAGTACTGTAAACCCCAATAAGTTAAGTCAATTCAAACCGATTGCTACAAACCATTTGAGTAAAAAACTAATCTATATGAGTACTGTGAACTTACTCCATTTAAGTTGGAGTAATGAGGCACTGAGTTCAAAACTCTTTTCAAATGAGTAGAATTAGCTTTCAGTCAATTTTGAGTTAACTACACTCATTTCATTTGATTACGCTGACTGTTGGGTTTTACAGTGTAATACCTCTGTACTAATGACAGTTAGTTGACATGATATTGCAAAGGTACTTTTATTTGCAAAATCAACAGAATGTCTGTTGGGAAACATCAAAATAACGAGTTAGCAGATATCAAGCAGTCTACTAAATCTACTGCCTGACTTCTTGTAATCTTCCACAATTTAAATAATTATGGCTTTTTATTCTAGTTAGTTTATTTAGTCTTCATCTATGGTAAGTTGCTATGACACATCCTACATTATAAGAAGCACTGAAGAAATAAAACTGAACTGAACTGAAAGACTCTAATGACAAGCAGTTGCAAAGTTACTAATAATTGCATTGAAATGACTTTTAATGAGCTATTAATCTCATATAAGATCAAATCTGTATAAGCTGCACAGACAGTCAACAACATTTTGAATTCCTATGAACGAACAACAATACAGTAACCTTCTGAACTTCAGCAATATCACTGTAAGTACGAACAGGCGGTGGGTGTATGGAAAAGTATATTTTTCTGAAGTCCTCACCCACATATACCCATAAATCTGCTATATGTGATGTGCATGAGCTGCTTACCCACATACAGCTGGCTGTAGAGCTCCAGGCGCGTGTGGCCCTGTGTAGGTGCAGGTCTGATCTCCTTGTATTTCTGGTCTAGTTGAAGAATAGCCTCTTTAGTGTTTCTCTCAGCACTGACCCGGTGCCACTGGTCATCATTCAATGGGGTAGGAGAGTGGACGTTCAGCTCCACTGGTCCGTTTCCGACATCGAAAGAAAACGACACCACCATAGGTGCTGTGGAGAAAAACATACAAACAAACACGCTCAAATTAGTATGATATTAAGCAGTAAGCTTAATCACAATAACATGTGATTAAGGTATCCACATATAACAACACAAATCAAATGTAAAACAATTATTAAACTGTGTTGTGGACAGTCTATGTTTCAGATTCATATCTATGTGTTTCTTGAATTTTGTATGATTTTGTTTTTCAATTATATGTAAAACTTTGTAATAAGATTAAACCATTAGTTATTTTTTCACCAAGGAATAAAAATTATAAAAATTATATCTGACATTTTTTGTCAAAATTGGGTTATTCACATATTGTTATTCTGTTCCAACTTACTGTGTTTTTGTGAGAACATTTTAATATATTTTCAAAATAACAAAATTCATATTTCATGTTTGCTATATGGAATGCAAATATCTTAAAACTGCTCAGAATGCACATGTGGAAGCTTGTTATTCCAAAACCATTATTTATTTACAGTATTTATGCATTTTTAACATTGGTTAATACAAATGTTACCATTTTTTCTCAGTTCAAGTTATCTCAGATCATTAAATAATTTTAAAAGATACATTTAATTTTTATTACCAAATAAAAAAATGTTCAGGAACTTTATAATGTGTTGTCATATCTAGTTATTTTTTCACCTTGGAATTGAAATTATAATATTATATCTGACATTTTTTGTCAAAATTTTGTTATTCTGTTCCAACTTACTGTGTTTTGTGTCTCCATTTTGTGACTTTTACATTTGAAAACAAAATTCCCATGTCATGTTTTCAATAAGAAATGTAAATATCTTAAAACTGCTCAGAATGCGCATGTGGAACCTTATAATTCCAAAATGATTACTTATTTACAGTATTTATCCATCATTTTTAACATTGGTTAATACAAATGTAACCATTTATTCTTAGCTCAAGTTATCGCAGATCAATAAATAATTTTAAAAGGAACAACATTTAATTTTATTAACGTATAAATAAATATGAACAACAGGAACCTTGTATTGTGTTAATATATGTTTGTTTATACATATTGCACATTACTTTACTTATTTTTTGGTACATAAATGTTAGAGCTGTGAACCTACACTGGTCTCATGGTTCGGTTCGGTTACGATTATCATGCCATCGATTCGGTTCAATTCGATATCTCGGTGCATCACGGTGCATAGACGATGCTTTCCATACACAGTTTTATATTTTCTTCACAGCAGCAATTCTTGTATTAAAATGTATAAATTAAATGTATATTTACATACTATTTGTAATGCAATTTTGTCCTTTCATACGAACAGTCAGATATATAAATTGTGCCTATAAACAACACAAGCATTTATTAAAAATAATAATAAAAATAATAATAATAAGTTTCGTTGGAGTGCAGTAAGTGCACTATTCTGTGCTTCTGGATGGCTGTATTTAAATTTCTGTTGTGTTTTGTCTGGTGCAAACAGGCAAATTGCTGATCACTGCAAATCTCATGTAGCGTGTTGTTAGGACAAGAGGTTATAATATAACCTGCTCACCTAATGTTTACACTCTTAATAATTATATTATTTACTAATCAATAACCTCCTCATGTGACCCTTTAAATCTGCGTCTCATTTAGTAGTCAGCTACTGTCCACTGGAGGTCGCTTTTCAGTCACAGGCGCATACTTTAGGAGCCTTTCTGACTAAATGATTGAAAAGCAACCCGGGGTGCTGAAATATAATTGGCTAAACTGGCATTGGGCAGGTTAAAATGACCAAAAACAAAGACAGATATTCCGGCACGTAACTCACATTTTCAAAGAAGAAAATCTGACTTCAGCATTTTTTTTTCAGATAAACAAGTATGCTCACTTGCATGTTTCTTACATAACGGCAAATATATTATGGTATTATTATGCTTCAGAAGAGTCAAAAACAAACATACAGCACTTTTAAATAATGGTCAGTTTATGCACTTTATAACAGTAAATTTGTAATTAGCGAATTCATAGTTTTTGTGTAGTGTTGACTGCCAAATCGCTTAAAATGTCAACAGCTGCTAGTACTTCATGCTTCATTTAAACTGTTAATTTATAGTTCATACATTATTGTTTTGTTTAAGAACTGTTTTGCAGAACAACAAACCAATGTTGTGGCTTAAAATGCAGAACTAGCAAACTCATCAGACCTTAGCTTAGCTCAGGTACGTCATTAAAATTCCTCTAAACAGCCCTAAACCAAACGCAGAGTGTTTATTCACTGTGGTGAATTCAAGAAACCCTTTCTAATGAGTCAGTGTTGCATATTCTCCTCCATTAACTGTGAAGATTGACAGCTGTGCTCCTGGAGGAGGAGATGGTATTTATGGCAGGAGAAAAGAGAAGAGAGGAGTGCTGTGTCGTGACTGTCATGGTGTGTCATGTTTGGAACCATAGGGTTAATTCACCTGGGGTTTAACCCTTGATAAATCCTGATTTAGAAACATCCACCTGACACCTGAGATGTAGTGCCATTATCTTTCCTGAACCTAATGCGGCTCTCTGACACAAATGTTGGTGTGTGAATGTATTTAAAGACTGAAATGATCACTACTGTTTTATAAATATTCATAGTACCACAAGGTATTCATACTCAGGCTGAAGCGGTGTAAAATAACTAATTACCAATATTTAAATTTGACAAAAGCATTCATGAATTTGGATCCAATTCTTTGCAAAAAGGAAAAATCGAAAATGTCTATATAGAAAAATAACACATGACAATGCCAATATGCTTCAATGACAAGCAATAGTGCACTGATTTATTCTGGCTAAATTGTCCGTAGTGTATGAGTGTGTGTGAATGAGTGGTTCTGAATGTTTCCCAGAGATGGGTTGCGGCTGGAAGGGCATCCGCTGCGTAAAAATGTGCTGGATAAGTTGGCGGTTCATTCCACTGTGGCGACCCCAGATTAATAAAGGGTTAAGCCAACAAGAAAATGAATGAATGAATATATATATATATATATATATATATATATATATATATATATATATATATATATATACAGTTGAAGTCAGAATTATTAGCCCCCTTTTGATTTTATTTTTCTATTTTAAATATTTCCCAAAAGATTTTTAACAGAGCAAGGACATTTTCACAGTATGTCTGATAATATTTTTTCTTCTGGAGAAAGTTATTTGTTTTATTTCAGCTAGAATAAAAGCAGTTATTAATTTTTTAAAACCCATTTTTGGGACAAAATTATTAGCCCCTTTAAGCTAATTTTTTTTCTGATAATCTACAGAACAAACCATCGATATACAATAACTGGCCTAATTACCCTAACCTGCCTAGTTAGCCTTTAAATGTCACTTTAAGCTGTATAGAAGTGTTTTGAAAAATACCAAGTAAAATATTATTTATTGTCATCATGGTAAAGATAAAATAAATCAGTTATTAGAAATAAGTTTTTAAAACTATTATGCTTAGAAATGTGCTGAAACAATCTTCCCTCCATTAAACAGAAATTGGGGAAAAAAATAAACAGGGGCGCTAATAATTCAGGGGGGCTAATAATTCTGACTTCAACTTTATATATATGTGTGTGTGTGTGTGTGTGTGTGTGTGTGTGTGTGTGTGTGTGTGTGTGTGTGTGTGTGTGTGTGTGTGTGTGTGTGTGTGTGTTTGTGTGTTTGGAGGCAAAACTATCTTTTTTTAAAATCTTTTGGCACAGTTAGATTCTTTTGCAAACAAAATGTATCATTCTTTGACCACTTCTTAGGCCTATGGGCTCTATCTTAATGATCTAAGCACAAAGTCTAAAGCATATGGTGCAAAAGCATTAAGAGCATGTCTGAATAGACTTTTGTTATTTTAAGGACAAAGAAATACAGTCTGCGCCCTGGCGCTTGGTCTAACAGGGTTGTACTTCTCTGTGTTCATGAGTTATGGGTGTGTTTTGAGTATAACATGCATTAAACCAATCAGAGTCTCATTTCCCATTCTCTTTAAGAGTCAGTTGTGTTGTGCCATGGCGCATTTGCTATTCACATGGCGGACTTTGTAAGTGGAAAAACTGAACGCTTCACTAGCAAGAAAACAGTTCCATCTGACCATCTGCAGTGCGAGGAAAAAGAATGAGCCTCCTCCATTCTGCTTCATTCTCTTTACTTTTACTCTTTCCTTTACTCATTTTAATCTTTTACTTTTTATATGTAAAGATATTTGTGTATTGCTGTACATCCTTTGTGTATTAAGCAATGTGTAAGCATTTGAGCCCGAATAGGTCCACAACTAGCATGCTTTGTGCTATGATAGGTGTATGATATAGCCCTATGTGTTAAAAACATAAGTTATACAACATAAGATCATTTACACTGAAATTAAATATCATTTTTCAACCTTGATGAGTAAATAAGGGAATCTAACCCACCCTATAATATTTTATATTTAAAACTTTAAAATATTCAGAATCTGTTTATTCACTTTTGTTTCTAACATGCTTTTGTTTCTTTATGTTTCAGTTTACTTCCACAAGTCAACATTTGAAAGCTGTTAGTGAAAGTCACACACAAACTGATCTCTCATTGATTAAAGGACATATTCTGTGATTCCACAATTCCAGATATCAAAATGAAAATGTGGGGGGTTTACAAATTTAATTGTGCCAGCAAGATAAATATCAAAATACTACAATATGCATACTAATTAGTATATGCATTGATCAAAGCTAAGTAAAAACAAATGCCTGCCATTTAGACACCGAAGTGAAATTATTTAAAAGGACAAACCTGGCTTGGAGTCAAATATGTGTCTAAATTCATTGGACTGTCTGGCTCTGTTCGGCAGGGGTTACTGTGGCGGCACTGATGCTGAAGGCAAGAGCGAAATTGGATCTGCTTTGTGTTGGCAGCACAGTGAGCCTGCAGTGATAGTGGCCGCTGCTATTGTCATCATCTGAGGAAGCTAAGAGAAGTGCTGTAATGTGATCCCAAGAGTGGCACGCATGCACACACACACACACAGCTTATTTGTGCCAT